AAAACTAACTACTTCTGCAAAGAATTTCAACATTTCTATACCTTGTAAATATGTGCCAAAAATAGTGTTCATTTGATTAGTTGTTACCAACCTCTCAAGTTCATCTCTTCCTTTTCCTTAAATGGTCTTCATATGGGAATACTAGGGATACAAGTTTACTGTTTTGTCGCTGGGGTAGCTGTTTTTCTTTGTTTAAAAAATGTTTTGAATTGCCAAAGGGTCCTTATGCTTGCCTGGGAGCTATGGGGCGGGGGTGGGGGGGTGAGATATGCGAGAACGAGCATCCCCCCTCCCCTGGGGGTGATCCTCCAGGTTCATTTCTCGAACCTTCTGGCATTCTGGGCACACATGCATCTGTGGCTTTTTTCAAGCTGCCAAGGGCCAGGATTCGAACCTCAGTCAGCCTTATGGAATCCTGCTTTCCTCAACCAATAGGCTCTGGGGCTGACCCTTAATTTTAAGTGCATTTAGTAAATGTTATTGAATGAGAATTCCCAGTCAATTTTACTTATGCTTAGAGAATGTTTTCCTTTTTTAATTTTTAAATTATGAAGGGGGGCAGATTCAGCAGGGATGATTCTGGGAGGGAGGATGAGGTACCTGTGCACTAGATGTTGGGGGGATGGCTCATGCCTTGCTAAGGTAAGAAAAGGAGCCACAAGTATATGCACGGACTGTTGACCGAGCAACAAGTCACTGTTGTTCTGCGGCTGGAAAGATCAGTATGAGGTGTGTGAGCCTCTTAGGCCAACTTTTGGGAAACAGTCATTTTTTTTCTTTTATCAAAGAGATAGAATAGAGAATATCAAATGATTACTGAATTGGCAATAATAAGGCCTTAAAAATATGGAAACAGGGCCAGCCAGTGTCATGGTGGTTGGGGGGCTGGATCCCCCGTGGCTGACTACGTGGTTCGAATCACGACCCTGACAGCTTGAAAAGCATGATGGATGTGTGTACATGTGTGTTCAGCATCCCAGCAGGATAGAGAAATGGAGGAGAAGGAATTGCAGAGTGACCAGACCCCCCTGGGGGCTGCTGCCTTCCCCTTCTGCTCTCCCTGTCTCTGTCTCTCTCTGATGAGCACATATACCTTCTGGAAAAAGCTCTTGATATCTTTTAAGAGTAAGTTGCAAGGGGGCAAGAAGAATAAGAAAATAGACCCTCTACATGATTTACCATGGTTCGAGTCTTGGACCCGGTGGCTTGCTTTCTCTTTTTCTCTCTCTCTTTCTCTCTCTCTCTCTCCGTGTATGTGTCCCTCTGGTGAGTGCATGTGCCCTACAGCAAATTTAAAAATAACAATAATAAAAAAAAATAGACTCCATTTTTTAGTGCAGTTTTAGCGTGACAGCAAAATGGAGTAGAAAGTAGAGGTCCCCCACACATGCATACTCTCACCTGCTGTCAACATCCGGTACCGGAGGGTACTGCGTGTTTCTGTCGGTGAGCCTACAGTGAGAGCTTAGCTTCGCCAAGCCCAGTTTACTCTGGGCTCACTGTTACACGTGCTGTGGGTTTGACAAACACATATTGACACGTACCTGCCATTACAGTGTCACAGAATAGTCTTGCTCTCCTGAAAATCCTCGTGCTCTGCCCGTTCATCCCTCCCTCCTCTCCCACCCCTGGTAGGTATTATTTTTACTGTCTTTGTAGTTTTGACTTTTCTAGAATGTCATACAGTTAGAATCACACACTGCGTATATAGTTTTTTCAGCCTTTTCCATTTTCTCCCACTCAGTAATATACATTTCGATTTTTCCATGTCTCCTCCTGGCTGAGTCTTTTTTAGTACTGAACAATTTCTAGTGTCTGGCTGTATCTACAGTTTATCCATTCACCTCCTCAAAGCTATCTTGTCTGCCTCCCAAATTTTAGCAGTTACGAGTAAGGCTGCCGTCAGCATTGGTGTGCAGGTTTTGTGTGGACATGTGTTTGCAGCTCATTTGAGTAAACACCAAGGAGCGGGATTGCTGGATTGCGTGGTAGCCTGCGTCTCGTAAGAAACCACCAAGCTCCCTCGTAACGTGGCTGTTCCTTTCTGATAATCCACTGTGGTCTGCATCCTCCCCACCAGTTGGTGCTGTCGGTATGACAGGTCTCCGCCGTCCTTACCGGTGTGTAGTGGTATTTCCTTGTATTAATTTGCAGCTCCCTAAGGACGTGGTCTTGAGCACCTTTGCGTATACTTATTTGCCTCATATGTGAAGGGTCTTCAGGATGTTGGCAGAGAGTGCATATGAGGGAAAAATCTGGGGAAAGAATGCGCTAAGAAAGAAGAAATCATGAATCGTGCCAAAGGTTTCTGTCAAAGGTTGTGGAAGAAGAAATAGAAGGGACCTTTCTTTTTCTTTTCTATACTGCATTCCTATGCCCATCAAAGGCATGCCTCTATGTATTGGCTACTACAGTATTTCAAAAGGTGTTTGAGATATTTCTTTAATGAGGTATGACCCAAAATGTTGGTGTTTTGTATGGATCATAAGTGCAGCATTCCTTAATTCTTTCTGCTGTTTGTCATAATTGTTATTTAAAGAACCAAATATGTATTGTATGAAAACATGACCTTTTTCTCTTAGTTTAAATAAACCCAAAGGTAACAGAACTTTTTTTTTTTTTTTTTTTGAGAGGTTTTCGCTATAGGGCATGTGTGCTCGCCAGACAGACAGAGAGAGACATAGAGACAGAAAGCGAGAAGTCGCCCCCCAGGGGGAATGGTCACGCCGCAATCCCTTCTCCTCCGTTCTCCTCTCGGGATCTTGGGCATGCACGCACACGCACCCGGCGTGAGTTTTAAGCCACCGGGTCCGGGACGTGAACAGCAGTCGACTACGTGGGAGTCCAGTGACATAGCCATTATGCTAACTGCTGGTTCCCTGGATGTCTAAAGCAAAAAAAAAAAAAAAGGGACCAATGGGTGTCCCAGCTCAGAGGCGACACACTGTGACATAATGGGATCTCTCAAGCGGAGGCCTCAGACTGGTCGTGAATTTAAATGAAGACTAGTTAGTCCAGGTTTGAGTGAACAAGCCCTTAAGGAATGTTCGCCATTACTCTCATTCTGACATGAGCCAGTTTTAGCTGCTCAAGTATCAGGGGATTGGTGAAACAAACACAAGGGCTTCCACTTTGGAAGAAGCCATTGACTACAGATTCATCTCCTGATTTAAAGTGGATGAAAGAGTACCGCAGTGGCATCTCTGTAGAAGGGTGTGAGTCCCTCTCTTGAGAGAGCTTGGTTTTGGTCTGGTGCGCCCCTGTGTTACTGAGCAGGCCCAGAGACACTGATGGTAAGGACTAGCCTGAGAAAGAGTAGTTAAAATGACCAGAGAGTGAAGGACTTGACTTGACACTAGGAAAGATTATGTTGGGTCATTGGGGAAGTCATGGTGCATTTTTGCATAGAAAAACATAGAAGGGCCCAGCAGATGGCATAGCAGTTGTGTCACTGGACTCCCTTACGGCTGATCATGGTTTGAGTCCTGGACTCAGTGGCTTGAAACTCAACGCCGGGGGCATGTGTATACGTGCCCAAGATTCTGGGAGGAGAACGGAGGAGAAGGGATTGCGGATGGCCGTCTCCCCAGGGGAGGCGGGTGATTTCTCCATTTCCCTCTTACTGTCTCTCTCTCTCTCTCCCCACAGAGAGCACACGTGCCCTAAGGCAAAAACCTCTTTAAAAAATAGGAAAATGCGTCATGACTTTCCCAACAACCTAATATTTAAACTTGGAGAGGGGGAAAAGGTGGTGGGATTCACGTTTAAAGATCTGGAAGAATGTGAATTGGTTGAACGTGGATTTATCGTTGCTTCCCCAACTTGCTGAGCCACTCGAAACTTTGAAGAGGTAAATTCAGGACATACAACCAGAAGAACTGAGATTTTAAACTCGAGAGTACTCCTTGCCAAATGGCAGATCTCCAAAATGAGGTGAAGAGATGAGTAGGGAACAGTCTTATTAGTCATAATCTGGTGACATCGTTCATTTTCTGAGCAGGGGTTATTGGACTGCTTGGGCAAAGGCAGAGCAGTGGCTGGTTTCCAGACTAGTGATGGGGTAATTAGATTTAAAAAAACAAAGAAAAAAGAAAATCTCTTTTAAATCTGTAATTTTATTATTTCAGAAGGTAATGTCAGTAAGTCTCCTTAAATGTTAATGTGATTACTTTTAACAAGTTTCTCGAGTATTTCTTCAATCTATCATCCTCATGGCTACAGCGGAGTGACCTCATTAGGAGGATGGCCTAGACCTGGTCTAACTGAAGTTTGCGATCTCCTCGTACAGTCTTTCCCTGTTATCTGCAGGGGAATGGGTCCAGGATCCCTGTGGATGTGCAAATCTGTGGATGCTCAA